ACCCATGCTCATTTGAGTTACATTATACTTCTCAAATGCTTCAGTTCACAAAATCAGAAGTAGGGGCAGGCTGCAGTATTACACGGTAAAGGAAAGACCTGCAGACTCCAATGTTATCTTTACCTGCACAAGAGAGAAGCCCTAATACCTGTGGCTGAACCATAATGGGATTAATCATAAAGTAATTTAGATTACTACTGGAAAATATACTTTCCCATTTCAAAATTCAAACTGTAGTTTTAAAGGCTTGTCTATCTTCAGAAGCTGCTGAATGAATTAAAAATGGGGCATTTATTTTTGGGCCATAAAAAATGTTATAAAGAAAGTTATAAGTAGGCAATCATACATATCCTATGAGTAGCTTGCTGGAGGGGAACTGTAGGAGTAAATAGATTTCTACAGCTGGAGCTACGGTTGAAGCCTAAAGCAAACAGGACCCTGTGACTGCAGCAGAGCCTAAGTGGTGGATAGTTGGGACTGAAGGATGAAGCGAGTGGAAAAATTGTAAGAATTGGGAAAGAGATGTGGCAAGAAACATCCCCATCCCTGCTGTGATACAGAGCATAAAATTCATGTGTGAATAACTCTATCTTACCACTAATTTTGATGTTACACTGTTTTAAGGAATGTCCAGAGATGGCACCGTCCATATCCACTTTTGGTAGTGTTTCAGTATCGCTGTCTTTTAAGTAGCAGGAAAACCTGTGTTTTAAAATGCATCAATTCACAGCTTTTGCAGTATAACACAGTCCTTTATGTTTCACTCTCAGCTGAAATGTAGGCCATCTCTTCTTCCATCAACATTAAACAACTGAGTTTTAGACTAATTATACATTATTATATATTCTTCAATTTATCAATTTAAACATAAATGATACCAGATCTTCTATGGCAGCCACGTAACCTTCTTTGCATGCTTATGTTCTGGTGAAGCAGTTCGAGTTCCCAGAAATATCACATAAAGCCAGCAAAAACTGCACAAACGTGGTTACCTTTTTGTAGGATCACTAGTCCATGTTGCTGGCAGATAGGTGAAGAAGAGACACGTGGGATGGTAAGTACACACTACTTGACAGTAATTGACATTTGGCGTAAAAACCGTAGAGAGGTCTCCTCCTTGGAAATAGGTGTTTTCGTAGATCTCAGTCACACATTCTGATAGAGAATAACAAAACACATGGATAGGTAGAAGCCTGTATGTGCAGATAAGCCTAATGTCCTAATCCTAAAACAAATTAATAGAAGGTGCCCATCTGTGGAGTTTCAATTCAGTTCAATTGTTCCCAGTATTTTATTAACCCTCTACTTCCCTACGACCCGCCTTGAGCCCAGTCCGACCTGCTGCCCGACACAGCAAGTGCCGGCTGTTAGGAGAGCAGCATTTCAGGAACGGTGCAAAATCAAAACAAACTCGGCTATACGCTCAGATTTCTAGGACTTCATCACCAATCCTGCACTGAGGGTTCTCTGATAGAAACCACTCACATTGTACTGTTGATTTGACCAAAATTAAAATATCTAAGTGGCAACATTCTGGTCATACTCTTAGCTTTTGAAAATTGAGAATATGCAAGATATCCATGTAAAAACATATATAAAGGCTGTTTCACAGAGAAGCCCACTCTATGCACTTCCTATACGTTGTTTTCTGAAGGGGTAGTAAATAGGCCAGTTTGTAGCCTGTATCTATAAAATGACTTTTCTCAGCTGAAGAATGGAGAAAATATTTTTACAGAAAATAAATGTAACTGAAGAAGTTTTAGTTGGTGCTTAGACCCTGGATTTACAGCTCTCATAGTATATCAATAGTTATTTAAAACATAAACAAATATTTTTTAAAAAAGTTTTTAAAATGTGGCAAGTGGATTTTAGTTGATAGGATACTAAATAACATAATATAATTATACTTAGGGACTTTCATGTTTCCTGTACAAAAAGAAAAACAAAAGCAAAAGGAAACAAGAAACTATTATGCATATTTATCAGGTTTGCTAGTATTTTTTTAAAAGAAATTTCTTTCTTGTTCAAAAGGTTGTACTTTACAAGTATCAGGAATATTCTGGTGCATATACTTTCATAAGCTTGGTTGAAAAAAATTGTGTATACTCCCAGTAGAATTCCCTTTCCCAACTTTACCATTGACAGGAAAGCTTTTTTTTTTTTTTTTTTTTTTATAACTTATAATATTCTATATGAATTATGGAATAAAAAGTGCTGCAATTCTCTGCTGCATTAGATATTTTGATTTTATCTTCTGATAGTGTAAATTAATATATACACATCAATGCTTAATATATTTTACTTCTAGTAGCTAGAAAAATTATGCCACTCCTAAATACTTCAATATCGTACAAAGCGTATGTTTCTTCGGTCTTAGAAATGTTCAAAAAATTAGTTCTACTGAGATTTGAATCCATGTAAAACACTTCTTAATTAACACTTAATTAACAGTTATCAAACAGATTTTGTTTAAAAAAATTGCATTACCTAATTGTCCTCAGAGGAAATAGTTAATCCGTTACTGAACATAAAACTGTATTACATCTTAGTTCTAATTTATCAGGACAGGGAACTTCAGGGAAAGGCAATGGCATTTTGCATTTTGACGTTTGCTAACCAAAGTAAATCATTAACACGGAGTGGCACTGAAATATGTACACAGATACTGATTTTCCAGCGTTTCTAAGAAATTCTAGAAATCATTTTACTGAAACAGTTATTTCTGAGTTACTCATGCTTACTGGAGTAATCTTTTGAGTTGATGGGTATTGTAGAGATACTGCCTAAATCACGGGAATTGCACAGAAAGGAGCAAGCCAACTCTCGCAGGACCGGACTGTAGACACTAACATGCATCCTTCCACCAAAACTGCTTTGCTCTGGGGTTCTACTCACTCTTAATATAAATATTTAGGTCATTTTGTATATTAGCCTCTTTAATCCCCGCCTCCCCCTTCTAAAAGGTTTACTATTTCATTTGCATATTTTAGGAATTATATATTCACTTACCATTGTGAACTGAAGCAAATAAGAAAACAAAATAAAAAGTCAAATAAATCCAAGGCATCCTAAAAACAAACAAAAAAAAATATTCTTTAGGATATGCTTAATAAATGGCACATTGTTAATTTTATAAATTACCACAATGCATATCTCTAAGTGATTTACCTGTCTACCACTAATTCAAAATGGTATGGAGATACAGATTACCACTGTGATATGCAGTTATGGCTTAAATCCAGTAATATGCAACATCATCAAAAGTTTGGGACTTTACTGAGGGTTGCAAAGACATAATAAGACTTGCATAATCTCTCTTTTGTTTTACAGCAGAAATTTATTCTTGATTAAACTGGAAAACTGGAAGCAACATTTCATTAAGATGTTATTAACAGCTCTGGATTCTGTCCTCGAAGTTGGGCAGACACTATCATCAACATAGCAGACATTTGATTCACACTCACCATTTCTCTTACCTGTTACATAAATCTTGTGTAATTTCCTTTTTCTACGTGATACTCCTTCAACTGTGAGAGAATCAAACTAATCACACAACAGAATCCCTAACGAGATCAATACACATTGCCTTGTTATGAAAGCCTGTGCTGAATATCAATTGCAATAACAAGTACATACCTGTACAGTAGGTCTGGATGAATGGATAACATTTGTGCTCTACTGAAGATTTAAAAACCAAAATAGTCTCCAAATTGTGTTACATGTTACCGGGTCTGCAATGCTAGCTTGTCTTTAATATTTACTTTGAAATTGTGCTCACTTTGTCAATATTGTTACTGACCTTGGGCCACGTTTTCAGAGTGTAAATCACCAGCCCTGCAGAGAAATCAATAGACATGAATTCTACCGGCTGAGCATCTGTGTCTTGATACTTTATTTTTTTTTAAATAGAAGTCTAATCCCTGGTTCCAGTAAGTGAGACTCTCTATTGTGAGCACAAAACCTGCATAAAGAACATAAACATCACGGGTAAATCCTTAAATAATTGAGGGGCATTAGTGTGAAAGATTCAGATCCAAGTAAATGGCATCATTATGAAAAAAAATGCCAATGAGCAGCAAATCACCTGTGTTTTTTTCCTTCCCACCTTTACCATTCCAGGCACAGACCATAAAAGTCCATTTACCCAGGAAAAGATGGAACTTATACTTAGCTGAGAACTCCCGCTTTCAGAAGAACCTAAAATTTAACTGAACAACCTACAACTTTGTTTAAAAGGTGAGTTGGTTTAGTTTCTAATTGTTACAAGCTGAGAAGATAGGACACGCTATCAAGTGAGGTATTGCTGTATTCACAGGCTTGCCACAGGATGGCACTGATGCTGCTTCCACCAAGGCAAGAGGGTCAAGGATTCAACAAAGGCTGAAAAGTTAGATCAAGAGGATTCGTGTTCAGCAAACTACTAACCTTGCTATGAGGCTGTTCGTCCCTTGGTGCATGAAGGTAAAATTCAGGAAGGCAGCGGGGTATCAACCTCCTGCTGTGTCCAAAACGGGAGTCCCAAGAACCAGTGTGTGACAAGATGGCTGGAAACCTCGAGGGCCTTTGAGGCAGCCCTGGAAACAGTTTCGTGCAGCACTGCCACTGCCTATAAGTCATGCCGAGGGGCTGATAACATTTGCTTTATAACAACCATAAGTCCCATGCTCCTAGAACAGCTTACCCACCCTGGACTTATGGTTCAGATCCAGAAGCTTTAGCTAATTCTTTACCAAAGAATCCCTTGGGAAAACACATGATGAGGTTTTTTTGTTTTGTTTTGTTTTAATATATTAGCATAAGAAGGTAGTCTCAGAAAGTTATCTTTTTATAAAGAAAATTATTTTTATAATCAACTCGCTAAAAGAAACTTCTCACCATTACCAAAAAACGAAAATTGCCTTTGAAAATGAAGTGAAAAAGAAACTTGGAAAACACAGGAAATATTTTCTTTGTATTCTGATATTTTATAAAGTACAGTGCTATGTTATGCATTAAGCCACCCTGTGCTATTTAGAAGTGCACAAAAGAATGTATAAAATCAAGAAAAGCAGTAAGCACAGGCTATGTCTTTCTTACTTGGTAACGCATGCATCATTAGAGATGGACCAGTCCAGTATCAGCTGCATCTGACTCTGACTTCTCTGCATCTGACTTCTGGCTGCTCATTCAAAAGCCAAAGTGTCATCTACCTACAGCTGGGAGCCTTCAAATTCATGAGGCTTGGCTTGAGTGATTAAGGCCACGTTTTAACATGTTTCCACAGGTTAAATCAAGGTGATTATAGTGCCGATATAAAGAGAATAGTATTCAGAAAAAAATCATCTTTAACAATTATTTGCTTTTGCCTATTGTGTGGTTGTCTTCTCCTCCATCAAAATACAAGGCTTCATAAAGCAGAATGTGGGAAGAAGGAAGAAATTATTAAACATCTGTGAATGTCTCTGGGAGACATCTAACTGTGACTCCAAATTGGGATTATGACACCTTTATTCTACTGAATGAGTGAATGAATTGCACATGTCCTTGACCTGATGGTATGGTGGGATACAGCAGCTTGTACAGTACATGCTACTGTTTGAGAGGAAAAAAGGAGGAGAAAACAAACAAACAAACAAGACCCTGTAGATTTGTTCCCATGAATAACTCATATGCATTCTGATTGACAAAACAGGAACAAATATCTGCTGAGGCTCTTGAAGTAGTGAGCAAAACCATTAAAAATATTTCAGCTACATAACACACTTGCTGTTCTCATTTCTAAAGAAATGAGAAAGTTCTGTCCTCACTGACTTCTTAGGGGGCTGCTGAGTGTGTTTTGTTTCTGGCTGAGAATCTAATCTAAATTAGGAACAGTTAGAAATTTTCAGAGGGCTCTTGCCCTCTTTAACAGCAACTAGCAAGAATCTCTCTAGGTTCCTTGCAGGATCTTAAAAAGTAAGAGCACATTCATTCACTGTTTAGAAGCTTTGAGTAACACAATAAAATCTGCTTAATTTCTCACCCCATCATTAATTTTCTTTTACATTGTTGCAATTCATCTGAGTAAACAAGGCCTTGCACTTTAAAAATGAATGTAAAGTTCTCATTCATTAGAAGACTACAGCACCTCAGGACTATCACATCATCATCTTTGACTGGCTGTCAACAAAACACGCAATTTAAAAACATTCCTCAATCTAAACAGCTTTGCGGAAAATAACATTGAATTTCCCATCATTAGGACTGGAAATTTGGTCTCCTCTTCAGCTGGATCCAGATGCCGTTGTTTGGACGAAGAATCAGTTCCCCTGTCAGCCCAAGCTCTTCTTTCTCTTGACAACAGTCCACCCAGAAGCGCCGCAGGATGAGGGCCAGTAGGGCTTTCTCTTCCATTTGTGCAAAGCGCTGACCTACAGATTACAGGGCAGCAAAACAGGTATTACTGTCAGGTTTGCAACTTCAACAAAGAGCAAAACAAAATAGAAAAAATGTCACAGTCCAGGAAGCTCACCTAACATTAAATTACAGGTTAAGGGCAGAAAAAGCCAGTGCTGTCTACCTTCTGTGGGCTCCTGCTTAGAAAATGTGTGTGGATGGATGTCTATACACATGTGTACACAGTAATGGAAAGACCTACACTGTTCATAAGTGAAGGACATCTATTGCCAGTGAGACAAACCTCAGAAATAGAAACTTTAAAACCTGAAAAAAATGAATTCCACATTCTCGTAAAACGTACAACAATTCTTGAATATTCACCTTTTACACTTAAGACCAGCACAGGGGAAATTCATATCTTTTCACACATTCTATAATGTAAACAATGATCCTTGTAACTTTTAGCACTGACAAAAGTGTAGGGTGTCTCTGAGACCTGAAGAGTTAACATGCCCATTGAATGAAGAGCACAAGCTCTGGGAGACCAGTAGGAATGAGAAAGCAGCTGAGGCATCAGGAAAAAAAAAAAAAGAAGAAAAATGCTTCTACTGCAGGCTGCATATTTGGGACACCCAGCAGAGAGCACCATCAGACAAACAATATACTTCCAGAGCAAAACAAACTCAGGACCCCCTGCTCTTGCTCCACAATGTTTTGCCTTGCTGGCACAGAGGACCAGAAATGCAAATGCTCTCCTGACACAGCATCTCCCTAACATGCTGTCAGGCTGCACAGGCAATGGGAAGGAAGCAACAGTTTAATGTACACTGGGCTCTGGACAGAAAGAATCCCCTAGGAGAAAACAAAATGGGCCTGCAACTCGAGCACAAAGCTGACTCGGGAGAGAGAGCACTCGGTGTTTCAGCGAGGACCATCAAACACATGAGCACCCCGTGCTGGAGGCGCTCCCCGCTCCACGGCCAGCGCAGCACGAGCAGCACCGTTCATCACCAGGGCCCTCTCTGCAGCTACGCACCGATGCAGTTCCTGGGACCGGCCGAGAAGGGCACATAAGCAAACGGGTGCCTCCCCTTGCAGCTCTCGGGGAAGAACCGCTCAGGCCTGAATTCCTCGGGGTCGGGGAAGATCTCCGGGTGTCTGTGCAGCGCGTACGTTACAACAATGACATTTGTGCCTTTCGGTACTCGGTAGCCTTCTGAGCAGGGAAAGGGAGAGACAAGAGAAAACAGTCAACATAACAGCAAGGATCCGACTGTACAGCTGATTGGAATGACTGCATTTCCTAGCATTGCTCAGGGGCATCTCAGGGTGCTCCTACTCACTAATATAGCAATCCTCCCGCAAGCTGCGGGCAAACAGCGGAACCGAAGGGAAGAGCCGAAGAGCTTCTTTCACAACACACTCCAGGTACCGAAGCTTCTTCAGATCATCCATCATGACTGGACGATCACTGTTACCTGTCCAGAAAGCAAACAAACAGGGGGCAATAAGACCAACACATCCCTTTTTCGGTGACTCCAGCCCCCTTTGGGGATCTCCTGTCACCTACCACATGCTCCCCACCAAATGCCACTGCTCCCCCCACAAAGACCAAACCTCCTTGAGCCCAGGAAAGAAAGAAGGGAAATGTACCAAACACCTCATCCAGTTCTCTGTGAACCTTCCTCTGGGCTTCAGGATGATGTCCCAGTAAGTACAGTACCCAGTTCATTGCTGCTGCCGTTGTATCATGGCCCTAGAGGTTCACAAAGACATTCACTTCAACACTACTGCTGTGCACAGGCAGCCTGTGTAAATACTCCTTGTGTGGCTATTAGGGAAGGGCTGTCTCAGTAGGTCAGCAACCAAAAGTCAAGCCCACAGAACTCTATCCACCACATTGATCATTAAGATATAATATGACCAGTGATCCCTGCAAAGGGGGAAAAGGGCTCAAGTCAAACCAGCAAGCATCCTGCTTCCCTCTCCTTCGCCTTCTAAAGCTTTCCCTTTCAGTGGGGGAACTAGCACAGCCTTTGCTTTGCACTCTGTCTCCAATGAGGTCCCTTGCCAGTTGCCCTTCTCTTCACAGCCCCCATGACTGACTCTTGCTGCTCTACGAGTCTGAATTTCTCTCTCTGTGCACTCTCTCCCCACAGATCTTGCAAGGCATAAGCGTGAACTCTCGAGCACACCTGCACAGCAATATGGACCTATATTCATCTGCTTGGTTCCTGTGTCATCTCCAGCCTAAGGCCTGGGCTACCAGCAATGCATATAAGACATGAGCTGCAATCTTCCCTGAACTATCAGGAACAGTTGCATGAGAGACAGTATGGACAGCACAGGAGGGAAGAGTTCTTTGTTGCCTGCGTACAGGAAACAAAGATATCCTTGGTACCTCAAACATGAAAGTATCCACTTCCTCACGAATGTCTCTGTAGCTCAGTTTGTTCCCTTCATCATCTGTTGCACTCAGGAGCATATCCAGGAAAGCTTTTCTCTTTTTGAGGCCACTTCCTTCACAGTTGCCATCAGTATCACATTTCCCTTGCTTGGGGTTTTCAAGTTCTGCAGCTTTTTCTGCAATGACCTGAGATTCAAAACATTATGTTAGCAATAGGAGACATGAAGCACATGCACACAGTCCGTCTACATCACACAAGTTTGCTTCAACTACTAAAAAATAAATAAAAAATTAAAAAGCAGGATATCAGAGATATAATCAAGTGTCTACCTTCCCAGACTAAAGATCCACAGACAGGTTAAGAGCTTCGAACATCTCCATCCTTCTCAGAACAAGAGAACTTCAAGTAACTAATTAGTATTGCTGCAAACTAAGACAGATAAGGAGCTGTCTTTCTGACAGCCCAAATAAGACAAGTGCATTTATGTGAATGAGGATGCACATACAATGGGGAACCTCATTGCCCCTATGGAAAATCTCTATTTGTGTAGAGCTTCTCTATCAGTTAGACTCCCCCATGAAAAGAAAGAGGTTAATACTGTATCTGTAAAATTGTGAAGGATCTTGAGATTCCTCTCGTGCTCTCTTCCTTCTTTGAACAGCACATATAAGCAATCAGGCCAAAGCCAAGGGCTCTTCTGTCGCTGCTGGATTAGATCACTCATCCTAGGGGGACACAACAATTGCATTAAGTTACATTCCCTGAAAAAATCTAAATCTACTAGATGTGTATATCTCTACACACCAGAGCTAAACACAACTTGTGGATTTAAGCACATTGACCTGATGGGAAAGCTGTTTGTCTTTGCTTCTTATTTTTAGAGCATCCAAAAATTTCTGTACTTGTCCCAGCATGTCAGCATCACCATAAACTACTTCTTTAAACAGTGATCTCTGAGAAGAAGATCATACAACTGTCATTTAGGAAGAATCCTCTTGAAACAGACCTTTTCAATTACTCAGCTCCTCTCCACACTCAGAGTACTGACCATGTCCTGCAAAGATGTACCAACTCTCCAAAGTATCTGCCTGTGACCTGAGAGAGCCCTCTGGAAGTTCTGGAAGACCTGCCTGTCCATATGACATGCAGTATATGCAGCAATCAAACCTCTAACCCTACCCCGCTTTATATAACCTATCTGTCCCAACAAGCCTAAAAAGGACACCCGAAGGGTCTACCTACCATACACAGTGAACCACTACAGTGGCTTCAAGCACCACTGCAGTGCCAATACAGACCATGGCTTTTCCAACCCACTGGCAGCTGCATACAGTTTGAACAGGGTAAATACCACTGCAGAAGAGCAGTGATTCAAGCTTTAAAGTGCTGCCTAAATTAGTACCCTCCCAACTCTGGCAATCATGCTGACCTGCAACGCTGCAGTTCTCTCTACCTCCAAAGCCAATAATTAATTGATTAGTTAATGTCTGGTTACATTAACTGATGTAACCAACATTAGTTGATTAAGCGAATAGCAACTGAACCCTCTTCACAGCCTCAGATTCCTTTTGCATGTACCCATCCCAGAAGGAATTTCAAGAACTGCAGCAGTTTTTCTGGCCATTTTGTCTTTTGACCTCCTCCTGTGCCCCCCAACACTTCCTCAAACAGTAAATACACTTCTGACATAGGCAGTTATCAACTCCGACCCAGCTACAAAGCAGCCAAGGAAGGTCTCCATTTACCTGTAAACAGCACGAACATATTCCGAGTCCTTATTCTCCTGGGCACCCACATTCCTGCCCATGGCAGTTTCTGCAAAGAGGAAGCGGACGTGGGTTCACGAGTGGGAAGTGACACAGGGAGTCACCGCGCTCAGCAAGGTCACGTTGCTCGTGGCCTCCCATCAGCGCCTCAGAACCGCCTTGCACAGGGCAATGCATTCAGCCCTTTCCAGGTCGTGGCCTTGCTTTCCTTTTCCACACATAGGACTGCAGCTCCTCAACACAGCCTCAGTTTAGACACCTACCTGTGCCCTGCCACACCAGCCCAGCTCACCACTCATCTGCTTGCAGGTGAGAAAGTACAGACCAGTTGGCAGGGTGAGGCAGTGTGGGGAGAAAGGGAGCATGGAAACCAATTTGGACAGGAAGCAAGGACATTCTTCTTCAACCATGTCCTCTCACACAGCTGTCACACAGCAGCAATTGTACTCATGAGCTTCAGCATTCGCAGCCCCTCCATGATAGCCAAAGAGGACTCACCACAGATTATATCGAGAGCACACAGAGTGACATCAATAAAGACATCAAATGGCTCCTTGTCAACGTGCTTCTCAAGTTTCTCCACCAAAATATTCCCTTGTTCATTCATAACTTCCAGAAAGTCATTTAAGATTGCAAAGTGGAATGTGGGTGTTATCATCTTCCGCCGTGTCCGCCACTTGTCTCCAGTGCTGCACAATTCAGAGGGCAGAGGGAAGTGTTATAACATCCTCTTGGAGACAAGACTCCCACCACTGCACAACCACACACCTCAAAACACTGCTGGGGGTGTCTGTCTATAGCACAAAACCAGCACTCTGCATCAAAGCACCAACTCCTCTCATCTTTCCTGCAAATCTGCACCTGTGGCTGCCTCCATCTGCTGACTGCACAGGGCACTTCCTCACCAGGCATCTCAGCTCAGGGTCTCTCTCTGCTGCCCTGCTCATTGAAGCTGGAGTATTTAACATTTCTGTGAGCACAAAAAAGCCACAACCTCTAGAAGCCTACCTGGAGACAAAAGTCCCGTTCAGGACAGAATAGTAACGGGGAGCACATGCCATTTTGGCCACAAGGGACCTCAGCTCTCTGCCCTTTACTACTTATGACCACTCTTCATGCTTAACGCAGGCAAACAAAACAGGATGATAAAAGGCATTCCTCTGCTTCCACACATGCTTGCACTTGTGATCACAGCTGCCTCTCAGAACTGCACCGGCCCATCGCTAAGGACGAAGAGAACCTTTTACTACCCATTAGACAACGAAGGGCACTAATCCCTCCCTCCCACTCCCAACTTGCCCTCTTTCCCGAGCTGCATTTTCTTTCTCCACACGAAATCAAGGACAGGGGGCAGATCCTCTCCTACCCTGCCCCAAAGCAAGACCAGCCTCAAGACCTTCACACCCATTTGGGCTCCTGTAGCAGAGATAAGCAATATACACAGTCATAGGTGTGCTCAGTCAGAATACTCAGGACAGTCAGACATGATAATGGCCAAAAGATCTAGGGTGTAGCATCAAGACACCACAGGCCAGACATCACTTCTTAAAACTTTAATTCACTCACTTAAGAGTGAATTTTTCTTCTAAGAAAAATTAGCAATGGTCAGTCTCCCTCTTGACAGCCTCATGATGTCTCGGAAGGACCGTGAACATACACAGAAACAAACACTCTTGTCTGCAACCACAAGAGCTGAAAAAAGAAATAAGACTTCTGCAGCTATTACCTCCATGCCTCTACCCAGGGACTCCACTCAACAGCACTGCCTCCAAGCCCTACTCCTATCAAATACCCTGCAAGGTTTGAATCCATCTCTGCCCCTGCATTTTACTATACCTTGTCAGCAGTCCAGTGCCCAGCCATGGCTGTAGAAATTTGTACAAGTAGGATTTTTCTATGTGCTTCGAACTGCTCAGAATAATCTGTCAGAAAAGAAAGGGGAGGGGGGGCAAAGCATCCCTTGTTAGACAGAGAGAGATTAATTCAGCTGATGCTGCTTCATGCATCCTCACCACCCTGACACTGAAATGCCCCACGCCTCGGGGGGATACAGGAAGGCCAGTTGAGTCCTTACGTGAAAGACACTCAGATACACACTGTCACCACAGCCACTTCACAATGTTTTATCCCTGTTTCAGAGGTCCAGTCTGCTCTGCTTGATATCAACTAATCAGGGCAACTATGGGGAGCAAAACCTCTTACACAGGTTAAGAAACAAAGCTGAAGGATATGCTTCTTTCTACCAAACATATTGATGTGCTGCACTCATTTGCTCACCCTGTCTTTCGTACTGTACAAACTGAGACTGGGTTTCTCTTTCACACCTTCATCCTTTCTTTACCAACTGGTCATAGGATAGCATCCAGTGTCATTCCAGCATCCTTGCAAGCCCTTACTCTCATTTTTTTTTTTTTTGACAGAAAGTATGGCATGTCTAACAGATTGGGCACTGCTTTTATGTGGCAGTGCAATAGTACAGGAGGAGACAAACACACTCACCTCCACACTGTCAGGGTCATACAGGACCATTACAGGCAGTGGTCCTACCCAAAGTTTTAATAGTGGTAATTTCCTGAATTCTTCAGAATAATGTTGCAGTTGTTTAAAAAAACCTGGAATGTGAAAACAAATTAAAACAGATAAAAGCACTTGTTGAATAGATAAGAATTCCTGCTTGATCTGTTCTTTCTAATATGCCCTAAAATTATGTTTGCTGTAGTTTTACCTTGCTGCCTTTTCTACATTCATTTATTAGCTGTACTGCACCATTACTTGTTTATGTCCACACACTAGCTTGCTCTACATAAAACAACTTTAAAGCTATATTAGAACGCTGCATTAAGGGATGACGTCCGTACCACTGCACTTTCTGATAAATTGAATGAAACCAAAGTTAAGGGTATGTTCACATTTATCCTTAGCTGACACTAGCTAGAATGCTTAAGACACTTGCTTAACCAAGAAGGACATCAAGCCTTTTCTCATCCAAGACCTCATTCAGAGGCAGTGAGGCTGTAATGCACATGGAGGCACTCTAATACACTCCAGTAGCAGAGCCCTGCACATCTGTATCTCTGAGAACGCCCACCCTGGGACTGAAGATAATCTCTGGAGCCCTTCCTTACCCTGTCATCAATGTGCACCTTACTCACACCCTCCCACACGCTCCCACCCCTTCACAGCCCTCACCATCCCTGACAATTTGCAATTGCAGCAGAGGCAATGATGGTAGACAGTTCCAGGATCAAACTCCACTCTTGCCCTTTTGGAAACCTTACTGATGGAGAAATGACCCAGCATGAGGCTTTGTGGATCTGGCAGTTTGGATGTCCCCACCTCTAGAGGCACAAAGACTCAATGAATCAATGACTCAGGTATCAACCACTCACCTTAACTTGGAATGGTGTGCGAACGTGCAGAGAGCCTGCTCTACCCCTCAGTAATAAACATGTTAAATAACAGACCTCAGGATCAGTTCCTGAGATACCGCTCATTAGTGGTATCAAGCTGCTAGCTGGACTTCACACAGGCTGGGTACAACAGTCCAGCCAGCTCTCCACCCTCTGCATCATCCACTTATCCATATCCTGCTGGCTTGGTTATAAGGAAACCATGGGAGATAAGTGTCAAAGACCTTGCTGTATTAAAGTAAACAGCATCCATTGCTCTCCCCTCATGCACAGATGCAGTTATCTCATCCCAGGAGGCAATAAGGTTCATTCTGCAGTTCTTGTGGTGGTGTCTGCTATCAGGATATTCAAGGACTAAATCCTGCCCCTGCCCTTCAGAAACCAGATTAAAGGATAAAGGACTCCTTCCACAGCCTCTGTAGAGCTGGCAATTCAAAGGTCCCTAAAGCCAGGGAAACGTATACAGTGTTTGTTTCCTAATGGATATCCAGACAAGCAAGTGAATTATTTAGTTTTAGGTACAAATTCTAATGACACTTTGTCCAAAATGCTTAATAGTATCTATTCATTTTGCTCTTTTCTGATTTTTTTTTTCTAACATGACCAAGATAAAAGTTCACAAGTTTTCTGGATAGCAGATGCTGAAGTTTGTATGTAGGTATCAATAAGTAAAACCATCAGGTGGGCAACATTTTACTTTTTACCATACAATTCCTTCCCCCCAAAAAAATTCATTTTTCTTAACTTTTACATTTTTTGATGAAAAAACTAAACTACAATCTTCATTCCTATTTAGAGAAGTAAACATGAAGGAGGAAGGTCCTTGGCTTAACTAAAGCTTGGAAGCAATTATCAAGGGAATTAGAGATTGGACAGAATGTGAAAGTCTCCATCAAACTGCTTTCTGGGGGCAGAAAGGATGTTCTCTCTCAAAAGCACTGCCTCACAGTCAGCCTCATAAGCACATTCAGTGACCCTGCTTCTCAAGGTCAGCTTCAGGGGAAGCTGGTTCCTCCAAACACTCCGTAGCTTGGAAGGAGCAGGGTTGGATACGGAGGGAGCGATGCTGCCTCAGGATGCCCGCTCGAACAGGCAAAGAGACCTGGGCTAACACGAGTCAGCACTGGACAATGCAGCTGGTGCCCACACCTGGACCATTCCTGTCTTCACACCATTCCTGTGACCCAGTAATCCTCTGCTCTGGCTCTGCCTGGAAGTTAAGGAGCAAGTTAAGGAGTGATCGGGGTAGACAGAAATGCGTGTACTTGGGGCACAGACTGACACACACAGGCATCAGACGCCCCAAAGCGTCGGCTCTCCCCCGCAGCACAGGCAGGGTAACCTACACACTAGCCCAGACTCCCCAAGAAAGAAACGCGCTCCTGTTCAAAGCAGCGTACTTAAAAGGCTGGCTTACCATGCTTATTCCCTCTTGAGCATCTGGCAAAAAGAAAGTACCATTTGTCACCATTGGCACAGAAATACTTGCTTTTGAGGTCAGTACTGCAAAGATTCAGTAATTTATTTTGTACCTTATGCATAAGACTAAGACTAGAGCTAAGAGCTAGTTCTGCAAACAGCTTAACAGTTCAGCATGCCAAGTCCCTCATGCATGCATGCTCACTTGGGGGGAAGACTATTGCTTAAAAAAGCTTTCTTTCCTTCAAATTAAAAGCCTGGCCTGGATCACAGGCAATGGCCATGCTGAGGATTCAGACCTCCATGTTGTGAAACATCTCATGAAAGCAGCCAAAAAAAAAAAAAAAAAAGTTTTGTAACATTCACAGTCTATATCATTAAGAATTAAAAGTGGGTCTGAACCCCATCGAAAACATGCAATCCATTTTCAGATTGATCCCCACCTAATCTCTGATAACCACTCCATACTTACAGAGCTCCACTCTTCGCTCCGCTCCACTTCCCTGCTTCTCATCGCATTTTTCTGCAGTTTGCCCACAGCCCCAAAGTGACCTACAGTGACAGCACAGCCAGGAGCTTGCAGAGGCAGCTGCTGCCGAGCCCCAAGGCCCTTGGCAGGTGCAGCTCTGGCAGCAAAGCCCCACGTGGACCCTGCAGCAAAGCCCCACACGGCACCAGGACCCCACAGCAAAGCCCCACACGGCACCAGGACCTCACAGGTGGCGAGGACACTCTTACCTTCTCCATTGCGCTCAAATTGCAGAGCATTTCCCAGCAGCGGAAGGCAGGGGCTGACACCCGGGATCGGCTTTATCACCCACCACCGCCACCAGTGATCGAGGAGGGAGCGCAGGGAAAAGGCCATCACGACGGTGAGGAGCAGGGCCACAAGGCCGGCGCCCCAGGGGAGCAGCCGCGTGCCCGCCGGCAGCACCTCCATCACCTCCCAGTGCCCTCGGGCTCCTGCAGCCAGGGGCACTGCCAGCGGCCTCCCTGCCTGAGCAAAGTGCCTGCATCCGGCCTCAGCTGCAGGAGGAGGAGCTGCCACTCACGGGCCCCATGCCAGGAAAGCAAAGAAACTACAAACACCAGGGCAGAAAAAGAAAATTAGAGCGGCTGACAGGCTCCCTGGAAGCACTTTGTGAGGACACAAGCAAACAAAGTGTCAGGAAATAGTGTCACTTCCTTGCTCTCTCATATGACTAAAGTCACAGGGGACTTCACCAATCACGTGTAAAAACATAAAAGGAAGAAAAACAAAACAAAAAACACAAACTGCTATCAAGAGGGAAATGAAAAGCCCTTCTTTCTCTCTGTGCTTCCAGTGGCACATCACACCACAGAACAACTCCAGCACCCTACAGCTCATGATACCTGGAGAGTTTCAGATGCTGAAGACAAGGTACCTGTCCTCGGTTGACGTCTGAAAGGGGTCAGAAAGCACAGCCCACACAGACTGCAGATGCAGAGCACAGCAAAGAAGGGGGATGCTTCTCAGCTCTGACGACCATCACCAATCTCACTCCTGACTGCCCAAGACACGGGCTAAAGGGTGCTGAGGACACAGCCTGAAGCACCAGCCTGGGCCACAGGCACCTTTACCTGGGAGAAGCGCCGTGGGGCCCCTCACAGACCCTGCTGCCTCCTCTCAGAGGGGTCCCCAGTCTGCTCTCGCTGCCGCCCTGCTGCTGAGTGCCTGTTCCTCAAGATCTCCGTGCTCGGAAACCTCGTGGCTAAGCAGAGCTTTGGCGAGAAGACACCATCGCCCACTTGCAACGGGGCAGCCCAAAGCAAGACTCTCCACGGCAGAGGACTGTGAGGACTTCAAGGGCATCAATTCCTGCAGCCTGGCCTCTTTGCTGAAGATCTGCAAAACTTCACTGTCTATTCCTGAGAGCTGAGCATATCACAAAAGCTCTCATTTCCATGCTCTATTTTGAGCCAAAATTGACTTCTAAACACTGTCATTTTCAATAGACCAGTAAAAAATCATAAACAAAACAACTAAGAGAAGAAATACAGAGAAATCTCAGGATATAACAAGCTTAGGAAGCACATATGTCTAGCAACAGCAGAGAAAATAAATTTTGGCACTTAGCTCCTGTAATTTCATCACAAGTGCTGCCTCTTGCACTTTTCTACACAGTAAACAGCGGAAAATGAACTTTGATACTATTGCCGTTGTTTTTAATTGTTCATGATAGCAGCAGATACATGCCTTCCTATGTGCTCACAGAACAGGGTAAGTTATGTTGTCACCACTCCCCTCTTTCATTCAAGTTAGATTCCAGAAAAGAAGCTAGTGTGCTAAGAGAGTAACTGATCATCCTTTTAACATGGAGATCAACGTCAGGTGATTTTACACTGTTCTGTCTCTTTCTTCCTGCAGAAAAGTATCAAAGTATCAACAGACAGAAAAACTGAAAACCAGGGAAATAGCAAAGAGAGGCTGAAAAGCCGTGGGTGGGAGAGGGAGAGCAGAAAATGCATTGGGAAGGACACTGCAGAATCCTGCCAGCAGCTGGCAATTGGTGACAACCAAAGGGCAGCAGATGCACTGAAAAAAAGAGATGTAAAGGAAATGCTCAGAAAGAAGAAATGACAGGTAGCACCTGAGGCCTGTGTCACCTAGACTTGCCCTCATTTTGAACCTACACAAGTTTCAAAGGCAGGTGTTCTGCAACATCTCTTTCATGTTCCGCAACACATCTCCCGGCAATTTTCTAGCAGATGATCTGCTGTTATGTCTTTTAGTCTTTTAATGTTTGCAGGGCCATTTGCTCAGGGCAGGGGGTGGTTTATAGGCACTACCTAGCCTTGCTGTAGTAAATGCATAGAGCAGAGCAAATCTGCTTTTACTCAGCCTCTCACTTGGTGAAGTGCAACTCTGCCTGTGTTCACAGAAAGCATGTGTCCTCCTCAGTAGCTATTTCGAACCACAGCTCCTAAGCAAAGCAAATACAGGCTTCTGCTAGGCGCTAGATTCCAGGTCTAGAGTCCTAGACAAGAAATCAATTAAATTATCATGATCAGAAGAAGAAAAAAGACCCAAATAAAAGCATGGAGAAAATGGATCCAAAGTGACAGAAAGATGAGTGAAGAACACAACACATCCTGGGAACCATGGTGCGCACCTCTCATTAATCCTTTACTCCAGCTAGGGCATATTAAACATTCTTACCTTCCCTTACAAAACCCATAGCATTCACTGTAAGTTTAGAGAGGAGCCAGTTGCTAACTTGGTAAGTAGCGTAATTCATTTGCAGTTGCAAATTTTATTTCCTAGCAAGATCCTTCCTCTTTCTCAACACTTAGGTTTACAATGGGATTAAAGCAGGGAGCTGCTTTGATGTTGATACAGAAGGCTACAGGCACTGCAGAAAAACCAAGAAAAGGATCAGTGCAGCACATGACCTGAAAAGGTGGTGCCAATACAGAGCACCTTCGGCAACAAATTGTCAAAACTAGGAAACACACAAACAAACAGTGCTAAGAACCGTTGATTAAAGTTCTTAGCATTCCTCAACTGATACAGGAACAGAAACATTTCTGACTACCAAAGAAGTTTAACTTTTAACCTAGTGAACAAGTATCCTCTGAACTACATGGAAGACATTTCAACAACAACAAAAGAACATTGGAATATCCCTCGTGGGGAAGGACATTTGCCATCCTTTCCACGAGAGTCCCAAAGGAGAGCAAATGTAGTCCTCCTTTTTGTGACCAAGGTTTAAGGAAGTTCGCAAAGATGCCTCCGCGCCCATGACAGAGCAGTCAGGCACATGGCATCAACTGCTGAATGAACTGAACAAAAAAATTCCAAATCAGAGCAAAGACAAAGACAGCACAGACACCGAATAATCAAGCAATGCCCTTGGTGACCTCAAAACCCTAGTACCCCACCCCCGAGCTCTCACTTATGTGACTTACTGCTCACTTACGTGAGCAATACCCTGCCCCAGACTAGATACTCCTCCAAAGACATACCACTGTAATCGCAATGGTGACCAACTAAGGCAATCACAAGGTACAGATTCATGACATCAATATTTCTGTTATTTCTGAGAGACCAAGCTAAAACTCTTGTTTTTTCAAGGAAGGCCTCCACACTGTACACTATTTAAAAAACTGTATGACCACAATAAAATTTATAACCTCTCCCAAATGCAGGGCTCTCCATACACACTGCAAAATAGCTACCCGTTTTACCATAAATTTGAGCTGGGTATTTGGAAGTCAGATCTGAGGAGGTGAGAAAGGAAATGCAGCAAATGGCAATGGCACATGGACTGGAAAATGAGGTTAATTGGTGTGTTTATAAGACGCATGAAAACAAAATGCAAGGTGTTCCTAGCATGCATTTTAATGGCATGCTGTTTGGGGCTTAAGCACAATTTACATATTGCACAACATTCTGTGCAACTCTTGAGAAAACTGCTGTATACAGTAGCAATTGTGTCTAATACAATAATTGTCTCATGATTGCAGAACGGGTGCAGAACTGGAGAACCCAATGCAAAATGTGATGCTGAAGGCAACTGTGAAGAAACTGACTTCAAAAAGAGAAAACCTTTCCTTGGTGTGCAACATATAACAAAGCGGGAGACAGCTCCCTGTTTCGTACGTCTCAAGGAGCCATTGGATTTGTTTTTTAGTTTTCAGAACTTGATATTCACCATTTAGAGACAGTAATGACTCCTTTTCTTAGCTCAGGAGACTTGCCTTTACTATTCACCTCTGAAGCATGTGAGTACATATTACTGTAGAGGTTGTATTAAATTACTGTAAAATTCAGATTTCAGAGCAAGCAACTACCCTTGAGTGTAGCGGTGCTCTGTCTGATTGGGAGGAACTGTCCATCCAGCACATCCACATCCTGGTAAGACAGTGGGCACCACCACTCAAGACTCAGTGACTCTCTCAACCACCACTCAAGACTCTCTCTGAGCAGGCTGTGCTCATACAAGCAGGCAAGAAGAGACCTTATTTGTGTCCACGAGCACTCCTAGCAGTTCCAGTTATAGCCACTCACCTTACTGACTGCTCTTTGGCTCTCATCCATTGTCAGACTGACTTAGTGCTTCCAGTTTATGATCATGAGAGTGAAAAAGACTAGAAACGTTAGTGAACAAAGGGGGCAATTGAGAGCCCAAAGGACTATCACATATCAAAACAGGCAGCATTGAACAAAGTTCATAATATCAGGAGCAGTTAGGAAACAGTATGATAACTGGGCACAGTACATTCTAAATAAATATAAGAAGCTGCAGTATAAAAAGTACTAATACACTAGTTGCAGTATAAAAGTACTAATTAGCAAGCACAGTACTCATTTAAAGAAGCGGGAAAACACATAAGTATTATTATTCCCAAAGTCACAGGAAAAGGCTAAGTGACTTAATGCTACACAGTAGATGTGCGAAATCCACACACACAGTTGGTTCCGTGCTCCCAACCTTCATTCTGCCTCTGAACCACAGCTGCTCAGTCTACTCATACTAATCATAACTAACTTTGCTTTTGAAGCACTTTTTGACTAGGGAGTCATGTCTGCCATTCCAGCTTTGTTTGAAAGTGCTCAATATACATACATCAAAACAACAACAACAACAAAAAATCTCTCAAAAGCACCCTTTAGAATTCAGGTTCAGGCAGATTCACATGTGTTTTTCAGAAGTGCCCACCCACAGCTCTGGCAATGTTCCCACAGCTTGCACAGCCTATAATGATGCTGTTTGACAGAGGCACACTGAACATGTGGCTCCTCTTCACAGGGCCAGTGATGAATTTGCCTTTCACCACAATAGCAGAGGAAAAAACCAGCAGAAGAGCAGCTCAGTAGAACAGAGAGAAAAACAAACATACTGACAACACACCAGATAAAAGATGCAAGATCTGTTTTACCAATATTGTTCTTGGCTTTGAGGCTTTTCAGACTTCCTAAAAAGAGTCTGTTTTATCACTTACCACATGCAAAGTTGCTCAAAATTGCCAGCTGTCTTCTCAAGACACAGGAACCAGAGCATATTCTGCATCACCAGCGTTAGCACAGTATCCCAGTACACAAAAGCCTGGCTCCTTCACCAGGACGGCATGAAGTGACTGTGCAGCAGACCTCACTGCCAGCAATGGCCAGGGAAGCAGCACTGCAAAGCTGGCAATTAGTCTCAGAGACAGTGAAAAGACAGGAAGAAAACACTGGATTTTCAGGTCTCTCTCACAGCATAGAGCATTTCAGGTCTCTCTCACAACATATTTTTTAAGTACAGTCTATATTTTTTAACTACAGTCTGTTTTCTTATTGCTTCCAAATAACTGTTGAAAGTTGGCCCACAGTCCTCTTTGGCACAATGGGACACTGCTTGCTACACAGTGGTTCCCTGGAGCTGACAGGCCTTTATCCCACAGGGTAATCTCAGCGCGGAGGTTAATGCAGGTCAGGCAGCTGGCAGTGACCACTGCACAACCACCAAACTGAGCTCAAATCCATGCAGGTCAAAGCAAGAGCGGAGAAGTCCTGAGCCCCTGCAAAGTCTGGTCAGTGCAAAGCCTAGGGCATTCCACTACCAATGGCAAAAATACTGTATTGGGCCATAGGGACTACATAAGCATGGGAAATGAGACCACAGTTCAGTGTGCACCAGAAGACATATGTGCTGGGAAGAAGGTGAAACCCCTTTGGAGGAAACAAAATGTGCCTGCAGCTCAAGCACGAAGCTGACTCGGGAGACAGCACTCAGTGCTTCAGCAAGGACCATCGAGCACGTGAGCACCCCGTGTCTCCTCCTCTTGTACCTCCTCTTTTTCTTCTTCAACATTTCTTCTACCACATCTATAGAAGCTGTATCCTCTTTAATGGATGGAAGAACAACTGTGTGCACAGTATTAACACACTGGGACACGGTCTAGGTTGTCCCCCTTGGGCCACAATCTGAACCTTCTCCTTGATCTCCTCTCATTTGCACCTACTACTGCCTAAAAGGAAGTATTAAATAATGCTTTCACCAACTAATTTCTTTTCATGTCACCTTTGAAGGATCAGCTACAAAGAAACATGATTGATTTGTACAGTAACAAGTAATATTTTATAAGAAATCTCAAGAAATGAAAACTGTCTTACTGACATGTCAGTATGTAGGATCAACTGTTCAGGATCTACAAACAAGTCTGGCCTGACAGCAAAATCGCTTCTTCCTGAAAGAAAAGTTTATTCCAGCAGTTTCACAGTAATTGACAAAAGGAGCAACTTACTTAGAAGCAATAAATGAACTCCATTTTAAAAGGGAATGAAATGGTTGGGACAGACAATATTTACAACACAGCAACTGCAATAATCAGGGAAACTAAAAGTGGAGAAATGTTAAAACAGGAGCCAAAGAGAAGATGCAGCAAATCACTGTTTAAAAAAAAAAAAAAAAAACATAGATTTTATATACAATTGAATTGACATTTGGATAGAGTCAGAACATCTTTAACACTGAGGAAACATAAGAGTGAGAGAAAAGAGCAATGTCTGAGAAACAAGTAGAGGAGCAGCATTTCATTTCACTCTACTTTTTATCTACCCTCTGCTTAGACAGCTCTCAAAACAAGGCAATATTGGCATTCTGAGAATCACAAGGCTCAGTAGAAAGTAACATACTGCACACGTTCTCTACAACAGAAGATGTTAGCTGGTAAAGTAAGTACTTTATCACTCCATCAGTGCAGTGATTTTCTGTTTCTTTCTAAGCCTTTTTTGTTTCTAAGCCGAGTTAAGAAGCAACCTGAAATCTCTTCCTCGAGGATGAAGGATTTCTCTGAAAGGATTTGCAATAAGGCTGTGAGCCTAGAAAACATAAAACATTATTTTTGTTAATTTTGGTAGAAACCAAAAGGCATGCATTTTGCCTGAGTTGCAAATTGACCTTGATATGTTTTATTCAAAAGGATTCTGTATACACTCAAACCCATAAACGTTCAATTTTATTTTCCCCTCACATTAGAATTTTATTGATTTGGTGAATTTAAATGGGGCTTAAAATAAAAGAAATTTGCATTTTGTGTCACTAAACCAAAAAAGTTATGGAACAAGCAGGTAATTGTGTTGCCACTCTAAAAGCTACAAAATATCCAGCTTGTACATCATATAGCCTTGCATTCATTCTAAGAATGAGGAATTGTTAATTAATAAAAAACCCTCCTCCTTTTCCTTCCAATAACCTTTCTTCATAACAACCACAAGATGCTTTGCATGACTCCTAACAGTAAATAATGTGGCTTATTTCAGACTATGAATGGAGAAGAAACTTCAAAAACAAGAGCACAAACATCCCACCAAACACAACCATTCTTGCATCCAGAGATGGCTCTCCCTGACCCCATCATTTCTTCACTATACTATGGGTTAGTACCTGCTAAAAATCCTTGACCCATCCATGTGCAGTCAACCAAATCTATGGGATTCAGGGGTCTTTTTTGAAGTATGTCTGCCTGTAAAAAAAGAAAGTATTACTAGTTAGAGTACGGTACTCTTATCTAAAGTGTTTTTATCACAATTTTTATTATACAGTCCAGCAGAGAGCCCTAACAAGCTGCAAAGCTTCATGCAATACTAAAAATAATACACTTGCACGCACTGGTTGCCTCAAATAAAATGTTTGGTGCATTCAACTTGAAGAAATCTCTTCTTCATATACTGCTTTTCAAGACTCCACATCCTCCCAAAGCTTTTTAACTTTCTGCTTTCTAAAGGAAATAAGAATTCTCTAAGCCAGAAATTAGAGGAGACCCAGGAAAAACTGCTTCAAGACCTTTTACAGCCCCTAAATGGGCAAGAATAGAAGCTTCTTCACTTTTCCACGTCTTTGCTTACAATGTAACATACCTTGAATGTTTGTGTTGTGTTGGGCTTAGAAAATTGATTGATGGTAACAGTTCGCTCCCTGAGTGGCTGTTGAGCTGCACTGCCAGGTACTGCACTTGAAACTCTGCTACAAGCATAATGCTCTTGATGCTGGAAGAAATAAAAAAGATCACGGAGAGAATGCAGCTATTGAAAATGCACTCAAAATAAGAACTTTTCAACTGACAAAGAAAAGAACACAGGGAGAATGTGGACAGCTTGAAGCCCTTCACTAGTGTGAAAATGAACAGAACTTACAGAGCTCCGTTGCAACTGAGGAACTGAATGACACTGTTCAACAGCTTCTGAGTTTATTGGTGGTAACCTGTTCTGAGTCGTATGTGCATGAGCTGAAGATAAACGATCCAAGCTGGAAACCCTACAAAATTTTAAGGGATCGTCTTTCAGGAAAATTCTTATTAAAACACTTATCATTCAAAATAGTAAGACACACCAGTACATTTCTGAATAGAGCTCAGCTATAGAAAGCAACAGCTTTTAATTAAGCAACAAAAAAATAACATAAATGCCAGTCCTTAGTGGACATCATTCTGCCTGCTATATTTTTCTGTTTGAATTCTATAATCAGTAACAAATCCTGTATTAGTTCAAGTATTTTGCAAAATCCTTCACTGGTATAAGTTCAGTAAAGTTCTGAGGAAAGCAAAAGGTAAAATGAAAAAACTCACAATTTAGTCCCCCTAAGGATTTCATCATTGTACATATTAGGAGCTTTTGAGGAGGGTTGGTCAGAAGTGAGAGAAGGTAACCTACAGTGGCTTGGTAGCTTCCTAGAAGACACCAGCTGTACCCGAGAGGATGAGAGAACCCTGTTATCAGCAATTCTCCCCAATTTAGTGCGCACTGAGTTTGTCACATTGGAGCCAATACTATGTTGTTTGTTTTCTTGCTCATTCCTAGGACATAAAGAGAGAAAATGGCACAGGGAAAGAGAGAGAAAAAATACGTGAAAGAACTTCTTAACACAGTATCACGACAACCTCTACAGATCTAAACATTTAGTCATACCAGTGATGTGCACAAAGGACATGTCTGCTTTCCTACTACCATTTTTAAAATCACACGTTTTTTACATATATAAATATGTATTTATATATGTACAATATTGCAAATATGTATATGTAGAAAATTACAATATAAATTATGTTCCGTTTTCAAAATCTCCAGACAAACATTTACCGTGATTTTTCTACTGTGGTCACATGCCTCTGCTGGAGTGGTTTTGCTTGAATTATCATAACTCCATTCAAACCACTATAAAAGCTGCTGGAGAAACGGTGAACCTAGTGAAAGCAACAAAATGGGTTTTAACCTTCCAGTTTCAAGATTTGTTTTTGAAGGAAGACTTCAAAAAGAGATAGTCAGAAGATATTTGTACTTGTATACTTGAAAAAAGATTTGGATATGACAGTTCAGCAAAATTGTAAGCGGTACATAGAGTAAACATGTTGTCTTGCTTATTTTAAAAGAATCTTACAAAAAGAATATATTAGTTTTTCTGCAAACTGATCTCAGAGCTAAATTAAGCTTTTAGGAACCTCTAAATGAAAACAAGTGATAGCAACTACTAAATATACACTCAATGAACTTTTCCTCCCCCTTTAAATGAAATGACTTACTTTAAGTGTACAATTAGCTTTTAAAACCTTTTCTAGGTACAGTCAAGACTACCCAAGGTTAGTGGATACTAATTCTCTTACGTTAATGAGACACTGCTGCTTGGTGGAAAGATATTTTTACCTGTGATGAAACAAAATGGGAACCACGAGATACACTTTGTGCTTCAGAGCTTCTGGGAAGAGGCACACAGCCAGCAGCTGCTGGAACACGAGGGACTGGCAAATGCGACAGTTTAGCTGCAACAGCTTTCAGTTTTTCCACTTCTTTATCACTCTCTGCACAACAACAAAACAATACAGGGAATTAGAGGCATTTTTACACTTTCACCAGTCAGTATTTACTGGGATGAAAACAATAATAAACATCACAGTTTTCAACAGTTCTAAGTTTCCATGATATTTAAAAATCTACCATAAATGCAATCCTTCTGAAAGCATTTCTGTTAAAACATTACAAGTAATTATATGCACTGCCATTTCTTAATCCTACATTAAAAACATGGATCCTTGTGATATCAGAAAGGTCGTCCACTCTCACTAGTGCTTTGACTACTAAGGATTCTTTGTATGAACAAAGCTCAAGCTATAAGTCTAGAAGACTTCGATTCCTCAGATACAGACCCCATTGTCGTCTATTCCTTGCTATCAGCACCAATTTTCACCCTGAACTAAGAGTTTCTTGCAATGGAGTTCTTTTGGTCAATGTTTTCTTCTTTATACTTCCATGCCACCTTGGCCAAATCCATAAGACAGGCCAAGTTTGAGATAAGGGTGGCAAGTAGCTCTGACAACACATTATGTATCTTAAAAGGTTGTATTACAAACAAGAATTTCTTAAAAGACACAGCTTATCCAAAATTACTTTTTCCAAGTTAGATTTGATTACTACCACATTTCTAAAAATATAAAATACCTGTGATCTTAGTTTCCCAATTTTTTTTAATCAGCTCCTCCAATATTTCAATCACACTACTCCAGATATGATCAAATACTTCAGAAGTTACTGCATCTTTGATACAGGCATTAGGAGATACAGGGGGAATGCCACGTTTGCTCTTCTCAGCAAGATGCCTTTTCTTTTGTTCCAGTCTCTCATCATCACTAATTAAGTGAAGCAAATTTAAAAAAAAAAAAAAAAAAAAAAAACTGTCAAAAAGTGGTAATACTTTTGATCTTCTAATACACTGAACAATTATAGAACACAAATACAGAAGAAAAAAATCAAATGTAGAATAAAAAAAATCAAATTCAGATGTACTGAGTCGATATTGGAATAGAACCCAACACCAGTGCATATCTTGGTACTTTTTTCTTTCCCTAAAACTTGCAACTCAAAAAAACATATATTTACAATTCTTTGCTGTCAAAGGCAAGATACTCTTCTATTTTTCCATCCACATCGAAGATTTCTTCTTCTAGGAATGAATATCTGGAAGGGTCAGAGGCCCGAGCAGAACTGGAATCTACTGAATTATGAACTGGAGATGCTACTGGGACCAATTTAGAGCCTGAAATACAGAACCTGGGAAAAGAAATAATAAAACAAATTGAGAATTAAGTATTCAAAGAAAGAAGCAATTGCTTCTATTTAATTGTGCAGAAATTATTTAATAAATAACACTTTATAAATCTCTGAAGAGGGCAGACAGAACAAAGTGATTTTTTTATAAAATATCTTTTTTTTTGCAAGCAAAGACCATGCAAGTGAATATTAATCCATATATTCATCAGAAATTTAAAACAATCAAGGGATTTGTTTGAAATACTGGAAAATCTTACTTTATCACCTCTGTACAAACAGTATGTCTTACACAGATGACAGCAAACTGCTGATACTTCTGCAATTTAATTATACTCTGTATATTAAAAAAACACAAAAGTGTAGTCATACCAAAAGACAAAACCTGCAAAAATTGCTAACATACTGTTTGATATCAGTAGTATTTTCATGGAGATCAGGTAAAACCTTTGTGGTCACAGAGCTATTGCTTCTGCTCTGAAAATACTGAAAGCCTTCATCCTTTGGTAATAGGAGCTGCTTTCCTAGAACTCTGGAGGAAAAAAAGAAAAAATGTGTGGGGAATTGTAGATGAAAATTTGTTCCACATACTAATATGAAAAATACAAATACTCATGAATAGCTGGTAATGTGTTCCAGATTCCAGAGTCCAGTTTCAAATGGAGTTCCAGATTCAAATAGAGAGGCTTACTGACACAATACACTAAGAACAATTCACATTAAGATACCAATCAAACTGATATTGTAGAGATACCTCTTTAAAACTAGTATTAGCAAAGTTTCTTACCTTAGATGAAGGGATTGTTCAACCCAGTCTGCGCATTCTGCTTGCAGGCTCACAGTTTGCGAGGTCACTTTTCCTTCAAACAGCATTTCATCAATGTCCAAAAACAGCTGATGCACTCTCTGTGTGTTGGCCTTATCAAATTCCTGTATATTATAAAATTAATAGCTGTTAGCAAATATCTACTTATATTTACTATAAAAAAAATATATTTAAAGAACAGGGTAACACTAGACAGATTTGACTGAGCAGCTCAGAACGGACCCTCAGATACCACACTTGAAAGGGACAACATTTGCTATGAAGATAACAGGCAGCTGCCTAAGATTATCCAGTTAAAACTATTCCCTCCCCACCCCAAACCTGATAAAAACACAAACACACACACACACACACACACACACACACACTACCTCTGAGACTGAAGGCTCTAAAACATCCTGCTTCTTTGAGCAACTCTTTTCCTTTCTGACTATCATAACGAAGATGACAACAAAGATGGACTTAAATTATAACTGCATCATCTATGAAACAGAATTGAACTTAAGCAAGAGCTAAACAGTTATCAAGACTGGGATATTTATATGCATACTCACAAATATGTTGCATAATTCAAAATGCTCGGAAGTTTAACTTAGATGTTTCTTGCATTATTCAGCATTTGAAATCAGATACTTTATTGCTCAGACTCAGAAACCTAAATCCTATTTTCTTTTGTGAAACTCCTTTCTCTAAGGTTTATCTCCAAGTTGCTTTTATTTTTTTCATGCTGGTTTCTTGATTACATATCCTCTGCATTAATTGCATACATTTTTTTAATTGCATAATTAATTGCATACATTTTTTTTCAATATTTCGTTAATATATTTAATCATTAGGCTGACGTGGATGGAAATGATTAACTCTTCTGGACATTGTTGCATAACCGTTTTCTGAAAAAAATTAACTAATTCTACCATATTCAGTGTACTGTAATAGCTTCTGTGACATACATCATCCCTCCAAGAGTAAAGTGAACTTCTTTCAGTAGACAAATCACTAGTGTAGCTGTTTATTCCAGACCAAGAATTTTTCAAGTTTGTAGGTGTTGTATGACTACTGGAAAGCGATGAACCAGTTTCACTGTGGAAAGAAAACAAATTAAAATGTTTTAGCGTGATAGTCTAAGCAAATGTTTTAAAAATAATGCAGGTGCGAATAGACAGTGATGCATCCTCCTATTGGATGCAATTTTCAGGACATACTATGGAGACAATATGAGGAATAGCCTATAGCACTTATCACCTTAAGGGCAACTCTTTCCACTGTATCACATTTTTGTACACATACTATTTTAATTTTAAGGGCACAAACTACAAAGCAAGCAGGGAACAAAGTTGAAACCCTCTAAACAAGAGTTTGGATCAATTCATATCCTACTTTGTGTGGAATCTGCCTATTTCTATACTGATGTAGGAATTACTGAGCTAGCAGAAGCAGATGGAAAATACAGGGAAATGCATTCTAATTAACAAATATCAGACAGGAATAATGGACAAATTAGAGAAAACAAAGATTAAAAAAAGCATTTTCTTTGCATTATAGTGACAAACTAATACTAAAGGACTAAATATCACAATCTCAGCTGAATAAACTGTAAATTAAAACTATTTGAAAAGAAATATTTCCAATCTAATAATTGTCAACCATAGGAATGACTACAAGTGAAATGAATAACAATACTCAAATAATCAAGCCCAGAGCTCATTAATGAAGTACTATTTCAGAAATTAATGCATACCAAGTATAACTGTCAATGGCTTCCTGGACATTTCTCTCAAAAACTGTTTGAAGAGACTTGCCACTTTTTTCTGAAAGACATTTATTTGTAGGACCTTTGAACAGACCCTTCCTGTAAATATAAAAACACATCAGTCTATAACATTAGAGGCTTAACTCATGTCCCTGCCAGAAATTAAGGGGAATCATCTCTAATTCTTCAATCCTGTCCATGAAAACAAATATTTGCTTGAAACAAACTATATTTCTGTACACCATTCTTTATTTTTCACTATTTACATGAACACTTTTTCAATAAAATGTATACGTAATTTGGGTTTATTTTATTCCACAAAGCATTCTGCTTCCATTTTACACTTCAAAATTCAGCTGTCACAAACACAAATGCAGCAGTGTTTAAATATTCCAGGCACAGTTCAAAGACACAAAATAATGACTGCTCATAAAGTAGTTATTAGTTATGTGTTTCTTTTCAATCATTAACCTAGAGTCAATTTTCCCAGATGTATCTCTGCATAACAACAAGTTACAGATATGCTGCCAAGCACATGATTACTGAAATTATTACTTTACTGAAACTATGAATGTTCAACTTGGCTGTTTTAAGTCATCTGTAAGGCTAGTTCCAATATCAAGAACAAGGACATATTTTCAAGAGGCTGCAATAGTTTTAAAAAAACACCTACAGAAAATGGTTATAAGTGTACATTTCTACAATCCTGTCAAATTCCAACATAACCATAACTAGACTCTTCTCTTCAAAATATATAGAGTTCTATCAGAGAATATCAGTTCCACAGAAAAAAAAGAATGTTAAGACAATGTATTAATTTCTCAAAGTTATTTTCAACCCATAAAATCCCCACATCACAACTGTGAAACTACACCAAAGTACACTGGCAAATAAGTAACTGTAAGGAAACACCTCAAAGTTTTGAGTTCTGCTGATGTCTTCCACCAAGAGCTATGATTGCTCTACCTTCTTCCTAGCCTTTCTTATATTTGGCCTGCATTTTGACAGATTACAAGGATATATCTGTCAAAATCCCACTCCCCACTCAATCTAACCACATCACATTCTATTCCTATGCCTTGGTTAACAAGCTGCCATGAAGTTAACACAGGATTAAACTCCTCAAGGGGCAAATGCACTTGCAGGGGCTTGACTTGCAGGTTCTTAGAGGCTGGAACACCAGTAGAGAAAAGAATCATTGTTGTTTATTCTCTTCTTATTCCTTGCTAGCCAGGCACCTTCTTTTGCCTGCTTTTGGCAAGCTAAGCAGCCTATATTGATCAGATCTCCCATATCTATAAGCTTGCTTTCACTTAGAGAACTGCATGTAGTTTGCTCTGACTTTAAAAGAAACCCCAACTTAGATACATGAAATCACCCCCCTACACACCTCCAGGAGATATCATCAATAAAATTTCAGATTTTCTCTGTGAAGCAGGGTATATGTCTAACATATCATGTCATACATTATACATCATGTATAACACAGCATCATACAAGGCATGAGATGCAGCAAGAAAAGGGTTCCTGCCCTTGTGCATTTCATTGTGCGCAGCAGCATTTCTCATGCAGATGTGCGGGACCACACGACATCAGAAGGTGGCCCAGGAAGCGACTGCAGTAAAACAAAACGAAAGAAAAAAGGAGAAGGGAAAGACAGGCAGGCACTACACACACAGCACATTTCCACAGGCAGCTCGCGAGCCTTAACCGGAGCCTCCGCAACTGCAGACATGAAACCACCACAGCACAGAAACCCCTGCACACCCTGGGGCTTCACCGGCCGCCCCAGGGACACCCTGTCCGCCCGGCCGCCACCGCACTCACCCCACAACGAGGAGCCCCACGTCTGGGGGGCAGCCGCCCGGCAGCGCGGCCGCCCGTGGCCGCCTCGCGCTGCGCATCGCTGCGCTGAGGCCTGGAGCGGGGCCCTGCCACGGCGAGGGAGCCGGCGGGCGGCCGCGGCGCCTCCCCCGGCCGCAGGGTGCTGGCGGGAAGGCCCACACCACAGGCACGGAGCACGGGGGTCCCCAAGGGCCCCGGAGCCGCCTCACGCCACCCGGCACAGGCGCTAGGTCTCCAGAGCAGCGGCCACAGGCGGAGCACGGGCTGCACTTCTACACCGGGCCCTCTCTCACTAACACTGGGCACCCGCTCTGGCATCTCCATGCTTGGCCAGAACCTCTCAGAGAAGAAAATGATGCCTCTTTGTAGCAAGGAAGAAGAGGGGAGA